AAGCTAAATAAAAAGCGATATTGTTGTGAGAGACAGGAGGAAAGAGTGAGAAGGACAGACAAAGGGAATAATAGAAATAGACAAAAGCAAAGTGAAAGAGAAAGCATGGGAGAGAGAAAGAGAATAAGAAAAGGGGGGGAGACAAGGTGTTCTCCCTGGGTAGTGTGGAGCTGGTCTTGTCCAATAAACACAGGTGAGCAGCTCGACAGGCCAGGACCACCAAGCTGACTGACAGCTGAGAGCTCTTACTGACCGCCGGCTTTATGTTACATGACATGAGGAGTGCAACTCAACTGACAAAGAGAAACTGCCTGCACCTCTCAGAGTGCGGGAGGGAGGGGCGGGTGGGGGTTGGCGGAAGCACACACACACACACACACACACCCTTACGAACTTGTGCAAACCGTTTGGGAGCCGCATCCACGCACAAAGTTGCAAACACAAAAAATACCCACTCTCGTACACACACACACACACACACACACACACACACACACACACAGGAGGAGAGCCATGCCATTTCCCTTCACAGGTGAGCAGAAGAAGGAAACACCCCGGTGCTTCGGTTACTTAGTGGGAGAAAGTGAGGAGTTGTAGGGTGGGGGGCAGAATGTATGCTGTGTGCCGACTGAATCTTTTCCACATGACGGGCCTCGGGCTGTTTTTGTCAACTGCACTCTTGAGCAGCAAGGAGTCAGGTAGTGTGACCACATGATTGCCCAAGAGGCACTGTGGTGAGAGAGGCAGAAATGGGGAGAGAGAGAGGGAGTGAAAGGGAAGAGAGCGGCAGAGAGTGGGAGAAGGATCGGGGGGCTGGGGACAGGACCGATGCAGCACGCATGATGAGGTGTAATCACAAACCCCATTCAGAGTGCAGTGGAGTTTGTCAACATACACACATTCACATTCCACTGTCTGTCAGCTCTATGACCCAAATCGAGCATGCTGTGTGTGAGTGTGTGTGTGTTTTTTCCACACACACACGAGGATGCTTTCTGCCCATTTCGCCTCCAACCAGGTAGTAACGGTTGCACTGTCTGGGCTTGTGGTTTGTGGTGGGGAAGTCAAATTCCAAGCGCTTGTAGGATTTCACTGCTGCCTGTATCCCTTTTCAACCCGCGATCAAGTGATCATTATGAACAAAGGACTTGGCTAGTTGCCTCTGGAGTAAAAGCTTTTTCAGTGGCTGTGACCGTGTGGTTTGATTTGAAACTTTTAAAAAAAGAGAGAGAGAGAGAGCTACAGTGGAGGAAAACACTCATCTCATGAAGGAATCTTAAGAATGTTACATTAAAGACCATAAAAATGTGTCAATTTCATAAAAAAATAAACTGAATGAAAAAGTGCTTGGACACATTTAATTAAAACATAATATGCAATGAAATGTATTCTGAATGAATTCGATGCTGTTGTCATTCCATGTAAATACGCATGAAACAAAATCTCATATACATAACATGGAAGAGAACAAATAATCTCATTTACATTTAAACAAACCTTTGGATATGATTAGTTAAACAATGAAAGTCTTATTTCACCACAGGAAGCCAAAATCCCATTGTCACAATTTCTTCTGAGGTTGATATACTACAATAATGGAGATGTGTTTCCTAGAAACCAATTTCTTAGGATAACACACAGTATGTAACAATATTAACATAATGTTTGCGTTTTGGAGACGTCTTAAATACTAAGAATTCAGGATTTATTTGCATGCAACTCAAGGTAGTCCTACACACTGGAACACAGTAAGCACTCCCTGATATAAACAGGGATCATCAGTGGGTTAAAATAGTGTAGATTTAGTTTATGTCGTAATGACATTATCCCTATAAAACACTGAACTGTGAAGGGCTAACATAAACTGAGGCCTATTTGTGCAGGCTGAAAAATGAGGCTGCGTGACAGTTTGGTGATAACACACGAGTTCAATCTGTCAAGACAATCAGCATTTAGACCTCGAGAGAAGAATGCGCGACTTGTGTGCGACCGATTCATTGGACACGATCACCTGCGAGTGAAGCCACTCATAATTCTTCCCACCTGAAATAAGGAGTTCAAACTAATGTCAGGCTGCTCTGATGTCATGCCTGCCTCGGGTTGGGTTTCACAATAATCTCAGCCTCTTGGAGAGATGCCATAGAGTCCAGCTTCCGCACCCAAGATTTTCTCCAATTAAATTGCAGGGGAAAGAATAACACGTGAAACACTAGATCCCTGCTCGTTTATAGAAATTAAGGTGGTGCATGCAGTATTTGCAATCAGTCATTTCTACAGTATCAGTCATCTCTATGGGGTGTACATATACATCGGAGGGGCCCCAAAGTGTGTTGAGGCTACCTTTGCTGAGAAATGTACCATTTTCCCCTATTATTAAGTCCCAAATAATAGATTCTTCTGCAAAATACTATGAAGATTTGACATTTTAAACAACAACTAGACAAAAGATAAGAGTGTGGGAAAGAGAAACAAAAAGTGTATAGCATGGGCAGCCACGAGGATCAATAGAGTCATTGAGCCTCTTTATCTTCTCCTTAAGGAATGATGGCAATACTCATTCTGAGCCCCCTCACCTCCCCGCTTTCTGACTCCATTCTCATGGCAACTGTGCACTCTGGACAAACTCTTCATACCATATATTTTCTTCACTCCTCACCATCTCCCCTGTATCTCCACACTAAATAACCGACACTTCTGAAATGTTCATATGGAGTAGATCTGGACTGCATTCAGCCTTGTTATATTTTCAAGGTGTGATGGGTTTCATATGGAGCGTTCTCACAAGCAAAGGACTAAAGAAAAAAAGCTGGGAATATATATGTCAGGTGGGAAAAATATTTCCTCTGCGGATATAATGTGAGTACAATTCCGGAGTCTATTTAAAAACAGGACAGCTCCTAATCCGAGGGATCAGCAAAGGGCAGGGCGTCATTGGTCCATCCACTCCAATTTGCTCACAGCACGACACTATCAGACCCCAAACCAAACCTCATTAAATCAAAATATGGAAACTTGGGGAACTTCCAAAACTTCTAACTTCTCTGCCTCCCCCTTGCCTAAGTGTGAAGACAAAACAGTGGACCATAGAGAGAAGGGTGCATGAAGAACGGCAGCAGATTCTCAGGACTGAGAGCAAAAGGAAGGAAGAGAGGGAAAGTAAACCTTTGATGAGTAAGACTTTTTTTGTTAAGCGAGGGGGCTTAACTTTAAAATATTCTGGGTGGCAGTGAATGGGGGATTGACCAATGGCCCTGATCTCAGCCACACACTGGGGCACTGGGGTTAATGGTGGATAAAGATTAGAAAGAAGGGGTTGCTTTGCCTGATCTCCATCCACCCCCACACTACCCCGCAGTTTTCACCTTCTCCACCAATCCCAAATCAGCTAGACAATGGAGGCTGCCAATGGGGAATGATCCAAGTCCCTTTGATTTCTGCTTCTACCCCCTCGACTGCTCTGAGTGCCCAGGGTAAAGACCCGTGGAGGTTCCCCCTGTTTGCCCACTCACAGGGACGACAGTTAGCAGGCTCAGAGAAACCATTTGAGGATTGGAAATGGAATGACAAGAGGTCTCTGATCTATGACAAGAAATCAATTTCAAACTGGAAATGTGAGCAGAGGGCCGTTCAGTCCGAACTGCAGCTTCTTTAAAGCAGCCAAAGATATACTTAATTGCTGTAGATTTTTATATATGTCTACACAGGAAGTACAGATTGCAGTGTTGGGGCAATTACACTTTTTTTTGCAATGATTAGAAGGACTTTTTTAGGCCAGCAGATACGCAGTAAGAGTTCATCTTTGAAGATTTAACTGAATACTAGACAAATTAAGAAGTAATATTTAAATCTCTTTTAGGTGGGAAAGGAAATCTGGACACTCTGGAAAGAGTGCAGCAGTTCTGCAGCCAAGCCAGCATCTTTGCTCCAGCCTATATGCTTTAATCATATCTATACCTCAAAAGTGTGCTAAGATAAATAGATTTTCTCCCCCACATTGCGAGCAGAATATCTAAATTAACCTATGGCCTGGATTCAAATCAAACGGATGACACTTTGCGGCTTCAAACCAAAAATCACCTACCTGTATTAAGTCACTATACATTTCATTGCTCTTTTGAATATTTAGACAGACATATTTAAATAATCGTTATGATTGATTATTGTGTACATGGAACATATCTATAGCAAATGATTCCATTTAAACATTCACACACACACACACCACTCTGTGGACCCAAAACTTGATCCTTCACTTTCATGTTTCTGTATATACTTCCAAAACAATAAAGGTTTTAATGTTTCTTCTCACCATCACTACCTGAAAGTATTTGGAAATGTGTGTGTGTATGTGTGTGTGTGCGCACACTTATGTGGCATGGATGCATGAGTATATATGAGAGATCTAATCAAAAGAATGGCCACAATAGAAATGGAGATTCCTCACACTCATTTGTGGTCTGACCTGGTGACAAACACCATCTTGTATCATTAGCTTGGAAAAGAGAGCTATCTTTGATTATGTCCACGTTTTGGAGCACTACAAAGATGCTGGAGCAATCAAATAGTTGAATTGTTTATATATTAACTGATTAACAGATAATATGATATTACCAAGACATTTTACTTTGTTACTACTGGAAATGTACATGAATCTCCACACCCCAACAACTTTTTAAATGATGGCATTTTAATTGCAATGGTTCATTTTGTAAGAAGTTAGGTCCTCAACACAGTTTGTAATACTTGTGAAACTGTTTTTAAAGTGCTACTTAAAAAATACTTTCCACTGGGGAATAAAACTAAAATATGTACTAATAGGTATACTTTTCTCATACCTGGCTCTGCTGTTTTGTCATTTCAGCACCCAGGATTGTGTTACTCTAAAGCCAGACCCCACCAGCAGTTATGACTGATGTGGCTCATTACAGTGGATACATTAATCTGGGGGAAAAAAACACAACACCAGGCATGCAAGGACAAGGAGAACTGCTTTCACTTACCACTTTGGACTTTACAGTGTGTGTCGTCTGCTTTCTTCTATGGGCGCAGAGTGCGCATATTTCATCCTAAAAAGAGAAATGGGGAAAATAGATGTTTGGACTGAAAATACAAGAAGTACATTGAGCAAAGCTTCATTTCTGCTTTCTCTAGTTTCTGTATAGTAGCTAATGTAACCCTGTTCGCTTTATTCTGTTATGTTCGGCTACAAATCTCAATCAAGACATCAACAAAATAAATAAAAAAGCCTGATATCCAAGCTTGCCCACATTTGTCCGCCATAATGCATATCATAACTTCTAAGTTAGAGTAGATTGAAAATCCTTGGGGTGTGAAAACCAAACAGGCACAACTGAAAGGTTGCCCAGTGGAGGGGGAATTCTATCAAGGTGGACAAGATGAAGATTTGTTACATTTGAGGGGGGAATGAGGCCCCCTTGACCTCCACTAGCCACTACAATCACCCAAACGCAGTGAGGCCAACACCACAACCAAAGACACGGTTGGTGTCTTGACAAAAAAACAAAATGAGTTCATCATTTTTATTCAAACAATAAAAAGCTTGAGTTTTGCTTGGAAAGATGAATGATCTTGAGAATACACTCTAGGTTACTGTTAATTTGAACACTGATCCTTGAAAAGACACTGTTAATGCTACTCTAATCTTTCTCAAGGTTAAGGATTCTTCTGACAGATGGACATGAAGGGCCCATGTTCAAATACTTACCCTTAGGGAGAGAACTTGCTGTTGTTGTCCGTCACAGGAGTGGAAGGAATCCAGCGATTTCAGCTATCTGAGATAAGACAAAACAGTAAGTATAACATTAGTCCAAATGTCTTCATGAAGTGCTGATCTTTTTTTATGTTTCTCGGCACATTCAGTGCTGGTGCGAACATGTGTGGACTAGATTGTGTCTTACATAACTATTGTCTGTGTATGGCTGGTAGGTGAAAGCAATAAACTTTGGAACAACAAAGTGCACCTGGATTTTGCTGTGAAGCATGAGAGCATATATGTGTGTGTGTGTGTGTGAGAGTGCATGCACACAGGCCATATAGCAGTACAGCTACAGGTTCCCCACCCCGACACCACGCACACACACACTCACTCACCACAACAACACACACACACGCTGCTCACTCTCTCTCAAGTTAAAAGGTGCAGTGCCTGGAAGGCTCGAGCTCTCAACGCCAAGTAAATCACACTGTTAACCTGACACGATTGATTTCTCATGTAGGTCCATTCAGCTGTCTGCATCTAAGTACACATGTTATGGCATCCATATAATATATAGACCATTAGTATTGATGATTTTTTGTGTTAATTACACAACTACAGCTGGAGTGTACAATAGCACGACTGCAGCTTCAGATTTCTCTGGACATTTTTACTGCACATACATCACATGTTAAATACAATTTAATTCCCCTCATTGAAGAGCATTGTGGAGGCAGATTTCTGCTGCTGGGGGCATGAGGGGCACAAAATGGTCTGGATGTTCCTCTCTGAGATTTTTTTTTTCTCCCTTTTATTCTCCCAGAATTCCAATGACCCCTACAGGCAACCAACGACTGCTGAATCCTAAGGAATGTGCTCTCTGAACTGTACAAAAAAGCCCTCAGCTCAAAGAGCACAGCTGAAAACAAAACATGCCAACTGCTATAATTTTTCACTGTTTTGAGTTTGTGGAAAATGTTGCACAGATTGCCGTGCAACATTTACTCAAAATGGGGTGAGAGGGTTTGAGGTGGGGGTGGGCACCAAACAATGCACTGTACGCTGGGAAAACAGACATGAAAAGGTTTGACAAGTTTGGACAAATAGGGCATTATATAATTATAGGACTAAACTGTATTGTGTATGTACAAAATGAACATGTGAGAAATACAGTTCTCTGTATATAAAGTAATAAGATGAACAAAACATTAATGATATTTTGCAAAAAGCCTTGTCGCATGGAATGACTAAAACTGTCAACCTTAGAGTGAAGTAAAGAAAAACAAATAGTTTGAAATATAATTTAGATATAAAACATCATTTCAAGTTAATGCCCATTTACTTCAAATTATTTGCTGCTGAGTAGACCTCTGGGCTGTGCAGATGTCATATTTTATTCACTGGAAAAGCATTAGGAATGCTATTAGTCTGTATGACCTCCAATTCGCGGGGATTTACAAATACCACACATATCTTTATGCCAAATATAAAACCACTGGTAAATTCTATCAACTTATAAATATGGCAAATGCATTCAAGTATTCATGAAGGCCTAATAATGCTATAGGCTGATATTTACATAAAGCGCTCGTGCACTAAGTCAAGATAAACTATTTAAGACCCGCACCACAAATACCTCCACACTGCAGAAAAAGGAGGGTCCTGCGATGAAAGAGGACATTATGCTAACAAGTCAGATTACTGTACACAATAACTTTATCTTAAAAGTAAATACCATCCTTGGTGTTGGAAAGTGGGGGGGCATTATGGAAAGTCACTGGCAATATTTCTGTGGGGACCAAATGCTCCTTATCAGTGTTAGTCGAGCAATTCAGGCCCGCCCGAAGAAAGATGAGTCTTCAAACTCATTCTATTCATGGTCAGACGTGTAATTACCCTCAGCTCACAGTCTAGACGTAACCGCTTTCATAGTATTTAAGACCCCCTATGCAACGCGCGGACGCCGGCTCCTACCACCAAGCCCTGCACGTTAAATCTGTGGGCAGATAAATTAGCAAAGAATGCAATAAAATAGACACAATGAGAGGAACTTTATCCTCCCCGCTGCTAAATGAGATTTCTTTGAAATGCAGATCAGTGGCTCTAGATTAGTGAATTTTAGCTGCTGTCAACATCATAACAAAATACAAATGCGATTGTTCGCTGGTGCCTTATCTCCTTGCTTCCATCTGTTGGCTGGTTATTTACTCCCCCCTGATTTACTATGCAGATCTAAATAAGTCGCATCAAAAGGAGGGCTTACTGCACAATGCCTTCTTAAGCTTCTACATCAAGGTATTTGAAAAACCGGTAGTCACATGAAAAGGCTGCCCATCAAAGGCACATCTCTAATGAACTCTCCCATATCAGAGGGGGCTTGTGGGGCCTGGCTTTAATGCCGTCTGTGTGGAGACAGAGGAGCAGAACTACAAATCAGACCCACCAAGCCATGGCGGAGAAGGGAGGAGGA